AGAAAATAATTATAGTGTTTTTAAAAAATAGGGTAATAACTTATTAATTAATCAATTGTTTAATATTTAAATCATTTTAACACAATGGTAGATAATAAATCTACTTTGTGATTCTCAATAAATAGACTGCATAGAATGATTCAGGTTAGAAGGGGCCTTTAAAGGTCACCTAGTCCAACTGAGTCTTTAGACCTCTGGTAATACATAGAAAATCATAATTTATAGGTTGAATAGTTCTGAGACATAATTTTCCAAGAGAGTTATAATAGAGGATAGTGAGTGAAATTGTTCGACTCACTGACAAACTTAGGACAAAAGATTACAATGGTAGTCTGCAGAATATGCCAGGAGGACTGAAAATTCTGAAATTGTTCTTGTATACTTATATTAATCTTTTCATATGTAGTTATATATATGGATAGACTTAGCTTTTCAAAGCTGGATAAAAGTGTTTTTCATGTATCTTATACTACAAAAAGTAGAAACAGAATTCTTCACAGTTTTGATAATCTCAGCATCTGCTTTCTGTGTCAAAGTGAGGGCATACCTTCTCTGAGAGTTTGCCCCCTGTGGAAACTGGTTATTTCAGAATAAGATGAAATAGTTTTCTGATGTGCTTTGCAGGAACTGTGTACGATGATATTACTGAAAAAGGCTGCATACCTGTTAGCCAGTGCCACTGCAAACTCCATGGAAAGGAGTATTCACCTGGAGAAAGGATTACCAATGAATGTGAAGAATGGTAAGGGTCATGGTTGTTTATGTATCTTTCTTTGAATTATGGTAGATGAGTCTGCATTTTTCAATTGTCTGCTTAGTCCTAGGAGAATTTCCAAAAACCTTCTAAACTTAACATTTATGTTGCATGTCTATACAGCCAATTTTCTGAAAAATATTCTTGTATCCATGGCATATGGCAGAGGGAAAATCCTAAGGAAAAGGTCAAAGATACAGTTTTAAAACACCTGAGGTTATCTTGCTGCTTGCTAGGTATGCAGATTATTACAGTGCTCTCAGCTCTGGTAATGTCTATAATAATTTTTTTATTATTTGTGTGCTTACAGCACCTGTGATTCAGGCAAATGGACATGCAAAGATTTACCCTGTCCAGGCACATGTTCAGTGGAAGGAGGTTCCCATATTACAACCTTTGATGGGAAGAAATATACATTTCATGGAGACTGCTACTATGTGGTGGCCAAGGTATTGTATACTGAAGGGCTTTTCTTTTGTGCTATGTACCAGCTGCCAACTGATGGTTTATTCCTTTTTTATGGCATGAGGGAAGCAGAAATGCTGAAAGTTGTACTCGAAAATTCAGGGTAGTTGGGCAGTTGGGCAGTCGGGCACTTTCTGCAATGGGTGATTGACTTAGTCAGATAGTAGACTAGGTATGCTGTCATTATTCAATGGAATCCATCAAGTATAAGAAAACAAAGGACCCTCTAGCTGCATGGATAGGTAGACTTCAAAAATCAGCAATTCTCAGGATTAGAAGCTCTCAGCCAGATCTACAGTAGCTTTTTCTGCCTGTTACTGTCAAAGGCAAAAGGACTAGGCAGCTATGCCATTCATCTGTCTGTAACATATCTGGTGCTTGTTCCTCTAGAGAACAAAGATCTTGTTGAACTAGAAATCGTACTACTGAATTTGTTTGCAAGATGTTTTAGCTTTCAATGCCAGTGCTGAAATACTGGTGTTAATAGTTAAGCTCTATAGTAATTGTTATCATAACAGTTTTTGCTTTGGAATTCATCTTGTGAGACTGATTGGACTAATGGACATTCATTTCCCTGTTATTGTAGGGTACTGTAAATGACAGTCATGCTCTCCTGGCAGAGCTGGCTCCCTGTGGCTCCACACACAGGCAGACCTGTTTGAAGACTGTTGTGCTGCTAGTAGATCACAAAAAGAATGTAAGTGTTTTGTGAGTTCTGCTAGAGAAGTTGAAAATTAATATATTTCCCTTACTGTGAAACAGTAACTAATTCTTTGGGAGCTGCCATTGTGGGTAGATAAGGCACTTCAGACAGGCTTACACTGAAACTGTGGCATGCGCCTTTATAGAAAAGAGGAACATGCTGTAGATCCTGAAGACCCAGTATTTTCTTTTACTTGCTGAAATCAAGGTGTCCTATGTAAACAAGCTTTGCATTTTGTTACTGCTATAGTATGTTGTAGCTAGGTGTAAGTGAAAAACTGAATAGCAAGACCAAGTTTTACTTGTGTCCTACAAGTCTGCTGACACATTTGGTTTTCAGACAGATTCTCCCTTTCAAAGATTTTAAGTTCTAGTCACAGTCTAAATGTGCCAAAAGGTTCTCTTCTTAAATATTTATTTACTTACTTATTTACTTATTTTTAATTAGTTCATTTTCCTCTCAGTATCTGCAACTTCATTGATTCTATTTGCTGTTGTACAGGTGGTGGTTTTCAGATCAGATGGCAGTGTGCTACTGAATGAGATGACAGTGAATGTGCCTCATGTGTCAGGTAAGGGACGTAGCCTTGTTTGTCATTTGTCACACACCTGACTTCTCGTGTAGAGGTGCATTTTTTCAGAGGCAAAAGTGGAAAAGAGGCAAATGAAGTTTGTTCAGATTCTGGAACAACCTGGAGATGAATGTGATTTAATAGTCTCCACTCAGAATTTCATGGGCAGACTGAATATACAGCAGATGATTGAAAAAAAATGTCACTTCACTTTTTTAATACAGCATGCAGCTGGGGAAAGAGGAATTGTTATGCCTTAACTTCAACGTAGGTAGCTTAACTTGCCTATAAAGAGGGGTATTTAACACTTTCAAAGTCTGGCTGCACGGTGTGGGCATGTTGCGGAAATCACACATAGTGAGGCTCAGGCAGGTCTACCCCACCCCACTTCTTCCCCATGCTTTTATTCTTCTGGTGGGAGAAAAGTCTGGGAGATGGTAAGTGCTGTATTTGCTGATTAACTAAGGCAGGAAAGAAGGAGGTGTAGCACCCACTCAACTTCTCAGTTCACTTGATACATAAGCATGTTCTATTTCATCAGTGGATTTGGAGGTTGACTCAGGTCACATAATTTAGGGGCCTTACTTCTGGTGGAAGGTCACTATCAAGCAACAGCTGTAAGCTCTGGGAGCAGCTTTTGAACAGAATGAGCTTCTCTTTATCACTCCTTTTTAGAAACAGCACACTAGCACAGTATGTGTTGTTTCCTATTTACTGACTCCTCTGCAGATGGCAAGTTACTTGCAGGAATGTAATTCTTTATCATAAAAGTCAACTATTAATGGGATTAATGAATGCTTGCATAAAAGCAATTGCAGTGTGTGGCTGAAAATTTAGAGAAACTAAAGTGCTCTAGGCAATAAAATAGACCAACTAATAAGTAGACCAGATAGATAAATACAGCATCTGATAATAGATTTGCTATAAGAAATCTGTTATGCAGTAGGTGTTGGGTTTTTTGGACTTTAGCAAATCTTTTGATACTGTCTCTAAGTGTATCCTTCTGGACAAAGAACAGCATTAGTGAGTTAGCACTGAAGATGTATTGCAGAAAAGCTGAATTTGGTTCTGATCCCAGGGCTGAGTCATTATAGGTAATAAACCAGTTAAGTTAGTGGGGACCAGCATTGAATGTAATTACCAGTGATTTTTAGAGAAAAAAAAAAAAAGAAAAAAGATGTATTTGATCCTGATCTCAGAGTTTTTGTAGCAGGTGATATGCTAGATGCTAATAAGAAGTGCTTCTTTTGGCAGCCTATGTGTGTGTTTAATGCATAGTTCATGTTCTGTTTTTCAGCCAGCTTCTCCGTATTCAAGCCATCTTCTTCCTACTTTGTTGTACAAACTTCTTTTGGGCTTCAGCTGCAGATCCAGTTGTTTCCAGTCATGCAGCTGTTTGTGACTGTGGATCAATCAATTAAAGGAAAACTTCAAGGCAAGTGTCTGTTCAAACAGGAAGAAAAGCCATGCTGTTCCACAGCTGATGAGTCATGTATTTTTACATGGGTGATAATTCATGCTACTTATTGATTCAAGGGGAGGAAACTAAAAGCAGAACCCAAAACACTGAAAAAGAATTAACTAGAAATGTATTTTTACTATTTCAGATTGAAATGACCTATCACTGCAGTATATTAATGTTTCTTAGAATATTCTTCACTTTCATATTCAGATTTATTTTAACTATCCACAAAACCAGGCTTTTGGTGCAGAAAACATAAAAAGTACAGGTTAGGATGGTGATCTCCTGAGGCAGAGGTATCTTCATGAAAACTATTCTTGTCAAGAGGTTAAAGATTTAAAATAGGGCTCCTAAATCATCAGTACTTATGATATGCATAATACTGAGGTGCAAAATCATCTGTATGAACTTCTCTTTCTAATGTTTACAATCAGTTGTCCATTTCCCTTTGACCTTTTAGAATAGGAATAAGCAGTAATTGGGTAAAATTTTAACTTTCTTATCAATAGGCCTTTGTGGAAACTTTAATGGAAAGGAAGGTGATGACTTTAAAACAACCAGTGGGCTGGTAGAAGCTACAGGATCTGCCTTTGCTAATTTATGGAAAGCTCAGTCCACTTGTACAGACCAGGCAGAAAACATGGAAGATCCCTGCAGTCTCAGCATTGAAAGTGGTAAGCACACTAATAAGTCAGATAGTTGGCTGCTGCCAGAATGAGCAGAGTTTACTGTATACTACTGCAATAGGCATGTAAGTGATTGAAGTTTTTCTAGAGGACTGCCAAATTAATATTTAATTTCTGAAAGTATGTATACATAAGAGGACTGATTTCCCATCAAATTAAAGTGAAATTTTAGGGAGTAATTGTAGAGGAATCCTGAGCTGGAAGATAGGGAAGCAACATCATTCATTTATATTATCTTCAAAAACAATTTGTATTTCCTAGTATTATTTATTCCTACATTTAACTTAGCTTTATGGTTCCCTAAATGGAAATGATTGTCACGATTACACGTTAAAAAGGTGCAGCAGTAAAATACAATTTTTTAATTTTATGGCTGGGTGTCTACTGCTAGATAACTGAATCAGAAACTAGAAATGTATGTACAGTGATTGCATATAGCTTCTCCACTCTCCAAAGTCCACACAGTTCTCTAATTTGTATTATTGCATTGCATTTATGTGACAACAAAAATAGACATGACACAGGGAAGATAAGTGAATGTACTTAATAAAATTTTATAATTTAATTTATTTTTAATTTATTTTTTTTTTTCAGCAAATTATGCTGAACATTGGTGCTCTTTGCTGAAGAACTCAGAGGGTCCTTTTGCAAGATGTCACTCGGTCATTGATCCTTCAGAATACTATAAGGTATTGCAGTCTTCCACTGTTTTTACTACTGCTTTATTTCAAACAGATTACTGTAGACATTTATCTTTGTTGAAACATTTGAGGAATTACTGAGTAGCTTGCCCATAAGAGCTGGTGAAGTTTTTGCAGTGATTAACTGAGATAGCATAACATGCATACAAAGTCTCTCCAATGATGAAGAGGTGGTGGAGGCACTATCCCTCAGAGGTGTTAAAAAAAATGGGTAGATGTGGAGTTTCAAGAGCTGGTTCAGTGGTTGTGGGTTGTAGGGTTGGACATGATGATCTCAAAGGTCTTTTCCAACCTTGATGATTCTGTGATTCTTAGGGAGTGTTGCTGAAGAAAAGGGTAAATTCATTCTTCTGTTTAATTTTGATTTGTATTTAATCTGCATTTTTATTGGATTGGATATTTCAAATGGAAAGAAGATTCAAGAGGTGCAGGTGTGCCAAAAAAGTTCAAGTCTACCCTTATAATTTACTTTCTGTTAAGTCAGAAAAAAAAAAAGGATAAATATTTATTAAGTTTTGTGTATTGATTGGAATGTAACACCAAATAATCTTCATGCCAGAATCAACATGGTTTCTTTTTCCCCTGTGCTCATCACTGTTGAGCGGTGAGGCTTACCTGAGCAAAAAACAAATTCCTGATTCTTTGCTTGTACCTGGAACTTAGCCTGAGCTAAAATTTTTTTAAGATATTCATAGATCTTGGTACCATTTTGCCATTATGATTCCTTATTTTTATGGGTCTCTGCATTTCTCGTTGTAACTGAGAAAGAATGGTATCAAAATCCTTAAAGAAAGGTGTTAGGAGACTGGCTACTTTTTAAAGGTTCAAAAGGCTTGGTTTTGTTTAGGTTAAGGATCTAAGTATTTTCCTTGTGTATGAAATGAAGCAGAAATTTCAGTCTTTGATCACAGGAATTAATAAAAACGATGTCAGAAGAAGGACAGGGGATATTTCATAGCTACTGAGTTGCAGTTGTCGATTGGCTTCCTGTGGGCTTACAGACCTTTTAATTCTTCTTTCAGAAATGTAAATATGACACCTGTCTCTGTGAAGACAGTGAAGAATGCTTGTGTGCTGCCCTCTCATCTTACTCAAGGGCCTGTGCTTTCAAAGGAATTATTCTGGGAGGCTGGAGAAAAAGTGTTTGCAGTAAGTAGTGGAACTGTAATCTCTGGGGAATTAAATAGCCAGGAGAATTAAGTAGGTTCTCTCTGAATTTGGTTGTCAGCAGTCTGAATGTTAAGGGACTTGGAGTATCTTAAAAATGTCTAATGGACTTAAAAAGAGATTTACTAGTTCGTGTTATATTCTTCAGCTGTCATATGTTCCTGACATATTCATAAGTAGAAAGCAATATTTTTTCACTTTCACCTGCTTTACCCAGTTTAAATAATAACATTGTTTCTGTCTTGGACTCATGGAATGCCAGCCATCATGGCTTTTATGTTGTCTTAGCTTATCAATGTCTTTGTCATTATGCTTGCTTTTCACCAACAGTACAATATTGTTGAGGCTAGGAGTTGATTATATTGTGCTCTCTCTCTCTCAGTGTGTGAAACAAATACAGGTATGAAAGCAGAAACTATAAGTAGCAGTTAAAAAGAAACCTTCAGCTGATAAATGAAGTTAGCATAGCATTATTTGTGACTTAGGATGTTTTTGTGCTTTAAAAAAATCTAAGGGAGTATTTTTACGATTTCATAATACACACAAAAAAACCAAAAACAGAAATGTGAAGGTTACGTTGTCCATCCTGCATCCCATATTGATCAGTTTGTTTGTTTTCTCTCCCTCCAGCTAGTGAAGTGTCTGCCTGTCCTGGAAATCAAATCTTCCTTTACAATCTTACAATGTGCCAGCAAACCTGTCGTTCTTTTGCTGATGCTGAAAAGCATTGCATGCAAGACTTTGCTCCTGTGGATGGCTGTGGCTGCCCGTATAACACATACTTGGATAATCAAGATAACTGTGTGCCCATCTCTAAATGCCCATGTTATTACAAGGGATCATACCTGGAACCAGGAGAATATGTAATAAAAGATGGAGAACGTTGGTATGTTTTATTGTGGCTACTTGTTTGTGGGGATAAAAGCCCTTTTAAATTTTGTTTATTACATGTAAGCTGCTTAGATTTTTTATTTTGCTTTAGTAAGCATTTGTATTATGTTTCACACCATCTTCAAACTGAGCAAAGCATCATCCTGCTGCAATGTAATTTATTAATAATTGAGAAGTACAGCTTTTTTGGTTAGAGGTGTGAGTACTGGCCTTCATAGATACACATCACTCTGAAGCGGCACTGTTAATAGAGCTTTGTTGAGCAGAGGGGTAAAAAGAAAGAAAGGGTCAGCTATCATGTTATGTCAGAGGCAGATTGCTTGTGTTTTCCTCTGCAGGAAGGTCCCCTTGATATGTAATAACTGTACCATATCATTACTGTAGCATAGGCCTTTGAAGGCAACAGTCACAGTTATGGTACTTTTAATCATGAACTCCGGCAACTGACTGCTGCAAACAGTGAAATACTTCCTTCTTTCATCTGGCAAATGAAACATACCAGACAACAAATTTGTAGCATAATAGTTGAATAAGCATGAAAATATATTGTGTATTCATGTGAAGACTTGGATTTAAATTATTATTATTTTTTGTTTCCTGAGTAATCAGAAAGTATAGTAGCAAGGTTACTAGAAGAAATAGCATAGCATAGCATAGCATAGCATAGCATAGCATAGCATAGCATAGCATAGCATAGCATAGCATAGCAACAAAACTGGAATACTATAATAGCTGTCATTCCTTAAAGCATAATCTTTCTGTGCATTATGCCTAAAATCTGACTGCACGTTTTCCCTAAGTGAAAATTCATGACTGCGCTTCAGTAGAGTTCACTGTGAAATATCAGTAGAAATTATGCAGGATATAGCAGATAAATACTCTCAAATTTATATAAATAAATCCTGTAATTTCTACCTCACTTCTTTTGTAGTGTTTGCCGAAATGCAAAGGTGCAGTGTACTTCCGTGAAAATAAGAATGAAAAGTAAGTTACATTCAATAAAGTAAAATAAATTAAAAACTATAACCCAGCCTCCAAACCCAAACCCACACCTTCCACTTCAACTCTCCAATTATTTGGTTTGCATGTTTGTTTCTTTCTCTTTCTGTGAAACAGTTAAGCGTTTCCACTTTTTCTCTGTCTTCACCCAGCCTCTTTTTTTCATACGGATAATTTTTTCATATGCTGAGGTTTCTCTCGGTAACTACCACATTTCACACACTTTTTTTTTGCCTTTTCTTGAGTCATCTCAACCAACAATGTACTTTTCAGGTGCAACAACAGAATGTTCTTCTAACAAGATCTACTTTGACTGCAATGCATCCCCAACGTGGACTTCGCAAACACCTGTACAACTTAGCTGTCATACTCCTCAAACTGATCATGTATGTATTTAATTTTGCACCATATTATGATTAATTTATGCTATAGACAGTGCAACGTGGAGAATGCTGTTGTAACTATCAGGTTTTTTTTCTTTGGTTTGATCTTACTTTCTTTTCTGCCCATGATACTACTCTGTTTCCAATTCCATGGTGATTTCCCCTATGGTTTTGCTCTCTTTTTTTACTGTAACTTCAGCTGAGTAATACCTCCCAAGTGAAATACAGTTTGACTTCTTAAGCAATCAAAACATAGAAGGAGAACATTAGAAACCCAGAAAGAAAAATCTTCTAAAACTAATCAATATAATTCTGGCAGTTTTTACCAGCATGCTTATAAAGAAGTGGCAGAAAAATGCAGTGTTTTTTCACAAACTGACAACTTCTTCTTATATTCTCTAGTTCCAGGCAGAGTGTGTCTCAGGCTGTGTGTGTCCTGAAGGTCTGTTTGATGATGGGAAAGGGGGCTGTGTTGAGGAGAGGGACTGCCCATGCATTCATAACAACCAGTGGTATTCTCCTGGACAGAAGATAACAGTGGACTGCAACACCTGGTAAGTTGTAATTTTGTACTCGTTTCTATAATATATAGGGGTAATTTAATAGTCATGTCTAAGCTTATGTACTACAGTGGCTGCTATAGCTGCAAGTATAAACCTTTATTTTCTGGCATACTTTTTGTCATCTGAGGAAATACAGATTGTGCTGAAAATACTGGAGTAATAGCTATCTCTGTTTTCAGTAGGAATGTCCTACTGGGATAGTGCACTCCTTTTTTAAATAGAAATGGTATCAAATCTAGAAAAAATGTTACTGGCCAGAGTTTAAAATACTTTTATAGTCTTCAAAACAAGCTAAACTATTGAAGCTGAGACTTAAGACACTCTGGAATATTGAAATGGATATTGTGATGTTATGATACCACATTGTATCAGATAGCTGCTTGATTTGTTCTTCAGTTTCCCAAACAGAACACTCTTGGTAACATCTGAAAATTCAACTTTCCTGCTCTTTTCTAGTACTTGCCAAAAAGGGGTTTGGAGCTGCACTGAACATGTGTGCTATGGAACCTGTACAATATATGGAAGTGGCCATTATATAACCTTTGATGGAAAATTCTATGACTTTGATGGGAGTTGTGAATATGTGGCTACTCAGGTAAAATTTGTCAGGAGGGCTGAAAGGGCGTTCGATTCCCTTGGAGCATCTATTTTCTTCCTTGGTTTTGTCATTTCTTACTGCCTGCCATCACTGTTCCTGAGGTGTTTAAATATTCTGCCAAGATAAAGTATGTATTTTCAGTGCAGGCAAGCTGAGAATGTTTGCTTTCTTTCTGATACAGTGATCATAAATTGTATGCAACGGGGCTATTTTGTACTGAGCTAACAGCTTGTTATCGGTTGTGAAATAAATCAAAATCCTAAGTTTACAAAGCACAGATATGTATATCTAAAGATATGTTCCTTATTTTGTTTTATTGTTCCACCTGTTTCCCAGGTGTTTCCACACGAGAGTGTATTAGATGTTTATAAATATGTAGATATATATATGTGTGTCTGTAAAAATATATGTATGTAGGATTTTACATATGAAACAGCAGTATCTATCTATACATTGTGGAGATCAAAATTACTGCAATTATTATTAGATTTAAATAAAAATTGAATATTCTACCTAATTTTATTATGCTATTTTTTACATTTTTTTAATAGGATTTTTGTGGTGACAAAAAGTCCAGTGGCTCGTTCAGTGTTATCACAGAGAATGTTCCTTGTGGAACTACAGGAGTAACCTGCTCAAAGGCTATTAAAATATTTCTAGGGGTGAGTAATGATACTCAGTCGGTATATATCAATATTCATGTATTAAAAAAAAAAAAAAAAGAAAAAAGCAATGTCACATCACTAAAAGCCTCTATAAAAAGTGAATGTTAGAGGCCCTATTCATCTGAAAAGGGGTGGATTCTTAGGAACTGAAACCTCTCTCAGACAAAGGTGCTTTACTACTTTCTGTCATCTTAGAAAATCAGTCCAGACTTTGAGCTATTGGTTTCAGAATGAGCTGTACTCTTACAAGCATCTAGTATTTTTCTGTTCATAAAAGTTAGTGTTCTAATGTTTATCTTTTTACCTTTCAGAAAACTGAACTGAAATTGGAGAACAAAGATTATAAAGAAATTCAACGAGATGTTGGTGATGATGTGCGTTATTGGAACAGGACAGTAGGCCTCTATCTTGTTATTGAGGCTAGCAATGGTGTGATGCTTATCTGGGATAAGAAGACTACTGTTTTCATCAAGCTGTCCCCTAGTTACAAAGTAAGGCCCTGTCTGACTTCTCTGAGAAGCAGTATGAATAGATAAATGAGATAAGGAAATGTAGATGTTCTTTTATTCTGACTCCGTTTTTAATTGTTAATTGTCTGTGCATTGGTGATTAGCTTGCTTCATTTACAGGGAAAGTCAGTTGTCCTTCTAATGTCAATGTTTTCTTCTTACTTTACTAGAGTCTGTTTCTCACTTCTATTACAGATTTAAAAGCTGTGGATATGTTAATTTTCTTTTTCCAGGGCAAAGTGTGTGGTCTGTGTGGCAACTTTGATGACAAGTCTAACAATGACTTTACACTAAGAAATGGGCTGCAGGAAACTAATGCTCTGAAGTTTGGAAATTCCTGGAAGCAATCTTCCATGTGTCCAGATGTCAGACAAGAGATTATGCCCTGTGACATGAAACCTCATCGGAAGTCCTGGGCAGAGAAAGAATGCAGCATCATCCGGAGTGAAATCTTTCACATTTGTCACTCCAAGGTTTGTAGAGGTCACTAAGTGATGGGGCAGCACAGTGCATTTCTGTTACTGCAGAAGCAGAGGGATTATCAGAATTGACTGGAGATGTTTAAATAGAGTAAACTTCAATTGAATCTTCAGTACAGGTGTTGGCACATTTCAACTAGCTTTAGTTGAAGTAGCATGAGTATCTGTGAGAGTAGGAATCTGCCAATAGTTGTGCCAGTCCCCACTGTACAAGCCCATAGTATGCTGTTAGTGGTGTGTAAGTTAGCTTGATAAATGCATCCTTAATAAGTCTGTGTGTACTGCAGTTGCACCATCTCTTGTTGAGAGACTGTCAATGCTATAACTTCTGAAAGGCCTTGCAATCATCAGACCTGTCTTCTGACAGAAAATTCATACTATATTTGAGAGGTGGTTGCCCTTCCTTGTAATAGTTATTCAGCCCACAGAAGGGATCTTCTTGGAAATTAATGACATGGTACAATCTAGACAGGCTTAGCTATTAGTACTGTGTCTCTGAATTGTCATAGCATACACCATATCAGGCCTGCAGCTTCCAGAGAGCAGCTGACATAGATCACTCGTCATTTCTTTCCTGAAGTATGGTAATATCAACAACAACTTGTTCTTAACTCACAGTATAGAAGTCACACAGAATCATCATTTTAGCTAACTTCATATGTTTCTATGTTGATTTTTTCAGCAGCCAAAATCCAGTCTAAGTTTATCCTATTGTCCCAAGCAAAAAAAGGGATAAACTTCAAAAACTGGCAAGCACAAAATTCTCTGCTTGATACTTGCTGTGAAGTGCAGCCTTTATGGTATTGCTCACCACTTGGTTGGCAAAGCTTGCTGTAAGATAAAACATCTTTGGCATCAGTCCAGCTTGGTTTTGAGAGCAGTGAAATGGAACTCTTGTTAGAAAATGTGGGCATTGCCAATGATTTTTTTTTTCCTGTCATAGCAAATTATGAAGCTGTTGCTTTACTTTAAGTCTATTATTATACATAAGACATTACACAGCTTCAAACCTATAGTGTTTGAGATTTGGTAATCCTTAGAAAGTCTCATTCCTGCCCACTTCAATTTCCGTATCTCAAGAGATCTCTCAAGCTTACTCGTTTGAAAACACATTTTTTTTCCCAACAGGTGGATCCAACTCCTTTCTATGAAGCTTGTGTTCATGATGCTTGTTCTTGTGATAGTGGTGGGGATTGTGAGTGCTTCTGTTCTGCAGTTGCTGCATATGCTCAGGAATGTACCAAGGCTCAGGCCTGCGTTTTCTGGAGAACTCCTGATATATGCCGTGAGTAACAGCTAAACACACACAGGCTATGCAATGCAGGTTTTGGTGGTTTTTTTCAGAATATAAACAAACAGAGTTAGTAAGTTTCTGTGTTTCTATTGTCTTTTACTTAGCCTGGCTTATTCCTTTTCCTCTTCCTCTTTGTTTCTCTCTTTTCCATTTCCTTCTCTTCTCTTTTCTGTCTTCTCCCTTCTCTCTTCCCTTTTCTGCCTTCTCTCTTCTCTCTTTTTTTCTCTTTTCTCTTTTCATTTTCACTTTTCATTTTCTGTTTTCTTTATTATATTTTATTTTTCAATATATTAAGTCTAAGTTTCAAGTCTGTTTTGCTTGGTAATTGGTGAACTGCAACTCCTGTCATTTTCCTTTCTCATTTTTCAAATTATTCAGAATTTGATTTTAGCAAAACTATATAGAAATACTCTTGTGTAGATGAACCTAATCAGTATTAGGTATATTAAGCAGTGTCCATTAATAGTGCTAATGCTCTAAAAAGAGCTCAAAACTAAATTTTGAGATTCTAAGTGGCAGGAATGTAAAATTTTTTAATTTAAAAAAATCATTCTGGTTTGGTATGAAGGCTAGTGACAGTTTTTAAGTGTAAGAAGCCAGTGAAGCAGAAATTGTAATTTTTAGTCAGCTCCTTCCTCTGTCCATAATCTACAAGAGCTTTTAGAAGTTTGCTAGTAGCTATGGAAGAAAAATATTTCTAGAAATTAACCATTCATTTACATTTAAAATCAACACTATTTTATTTAGTTTTTTATTTTATTAATTTTTTGTCATTTGAATCAAACATTTTCACTCTGTGGCTTGACTGCTTAACATGAAAATCTCGGGCCCCAGAGTTTTGACCCCACCTTTTTAGGTATGCTATGTTTAATTATAGTAAAAGAAAGTCCAGGTTTTATACTTCAAGAGAAATCTTGCTGTCTTGAATTTATTTATCTTTTACCTTCTAAGACCTGATCACAGCTATGACCTTGCTACTGGGTTCTTAATCAGCTTCTCTTTTTTTCTCATCAGCGATATTTTGTGACTACTACAACCCTCGTAATGAGTGTGACTGGCACTATGAGCCTTGTGGCAGTAATGTCATGACCTGCAGGATGATTAATAATGTCAGTACCAACTTTTCAGTACCATACCTAGAAGGTAATAAATTCCTTCCCATTTTTATGTTCTATTTCATGTAACTTTGTGCAAGTATCATTTAAACAATATGAAATAGTAAATCAGCTTTGTTCCTAAATCTATTATGTTGAATTTGTCTTCAGTTATATATATATATATATATGTCTCCTATAATGCAATTAATTATTAACATCAGTGGGTGGTAGTTATATTGCTGTCAGCCATGAAACTAGGTCTCTGCTTGGATAATATCTTGAAACATTCAAGATTATTACACCATTGTTATTTTGCATCCCATGCTAAAGGACATTTCAAGAGAAGGAAAACATTTTATATGACAAAGAAGCAAGTTACGGGCACTTGGGGGTTTATAGTTCTTTATGCATCAGATCTCTTTTTATTACATTAAAAACATTGTCAGTGGGCTACTGAGGGTCTTTGTTGCTTTTGTTTGCATTTAAGACCAAGGTGTGTGACTAAACCAAATTGTTTTGCATTCCATCACACTTAGAGGATGCACAAGGCATTTAAATTCTATTGAACCCCTCAAAGTATGTGTCGAGATGTGATATTAGTAGATGAAAGTCCTCATGCTTGATAACAGAAAAGGATTTTCACATTATGGGGACTGCAATGATCCAAGAATGCAAATGTCTTGAAAAATATCTGCTGTTTTATCACATGATGAATTTGGAGAAAACAGCTACAGCTTTGGACTCAGTCTCTTTGGTCTGAACAGGAAACAATTATGTCCAGTTTAGGGATTGGAAAGAACTGCCTAGACTTGGACTTGGCTGTTTTAGTGCTTGCACTGCTGGTAACAGTTAAAAAAAAACTAGCCAAAATATAAACCCAAGGTTTTAAAAGTTAACTCTGTGTTTTGAAATAGATTGTCTTAGATTATTAGAAAAATTTGGAAAGTGTTAGAAGGCAGCTTATTATATATCCAGTTATCTTTCTAAATTAGTTTTTTGTCTTCAATGGGAATATAGAACACACTTTTGCTTCTTTAGTACAGTCTGAAAGTGTGAAGCAACTGTTAACTGCTAGTTAATTACATAGTAATTCAGTTTATAGGCTATTTTGTACTCCAATACCATACAAGGCAGATGTTAGGTAATTAATAATTAGATTTTATGAGAGTTTATTTGGAAGTAGGACATAATAATTTTTTAAAAATGCATTTACATGAAAAATACAATGAGAATAGACAGACAGTCCCCTGCAGGTGGGGTTTGGGTCACTGGCCAAGGGTACAGAAAAATGCAGATACATTGTCTGTTTGGTGTGGAGGTACTTGGTTTCTTAAAGGCACATAAACAAGGTCTGATGTTCTAATAAATGTAGTGAAAAACGTTCCTTGATGAATCCCCTACCATATTCTTCACAAAAGTGTTATTGATATGGTGATCACATTTCAATATATGTAGAAAAATCAGGATGTTTATTTGTCTTAAAATTACCAGCTGCCCATAGAAATTAATATAAATTCAGATTTTCTCAAATATTTTGAACCAGGAAAAAACAACTTCCCTAATTTTTATGATTAGACTCTAAATTAATCCTCCTCATTCCAGTAGTATCAGTGAGAACTGTGTAAGTCTTTTTGAAAGACTGTCCAAGGATTAATATGAATTAGAAAACTGCAATTTCTTTTACTCTACTTGATTTAGTGAGAATAATTTATCTTCAGAAAGTATCCTATCCATGAGTTAACTCTATACTTTTCTTCATCCTGTATGTATGCTGATCTACTTGTCATCAACAGGTTGCTACCCCAGATGCCCTGAGGACAAGCCTATTTATAATGAAGAGACAAAGGAATGTGTGACTGAAGATAAATGTTGGTGTTACATCAATGGAACTTCTGTTCCCCCTGGGAGTGAAATACCCACAGAAGAGAACTGTACAAAATGGTATATAAAAAATGCAAAACCATTTTCAGTAATTCAGGGGAAAAAAATGTCTGCTGAGCTTCTCATTTACTTTACTGGGCCTCAAGCAACTTCACCCAAATAACTGGTATATTCTAGCATTTATCTATACACATCTGAGGAATAATACTGTTTATCCCAGTTGAGCTTTAAGCACAAAAAATTCTGCACTTACAATTTATATATAGTTTCTAAATTTTTCATTCATAACTTTCTGTACCCATAGTAATCCAGATTTCAGGTTGGTAGTGTCATTCTAATAAGTCTATTGGCAAATTCACTAAATATACACTTCAAAGTATCATAAATAATTTAATGCCATGAAACCCAGGTGTGTTGCTAGAACAACTTTTTGATTCTTATGCCTTTTTGGGAAATGATTAGTTACTCTGCCCTGCATTCTCACTTAAAACTAGGATTTCAAAATCACTGTAATCCAAAATGATCTACACCAGCCCTGAGATAGTTGAATACTAACTGCTCATTCCTAGAGCCTTACTAATGATAGCACTGACATCTATGACTCTACACAGTGACAAAAAAACCCCTGATTTAGACCACTGCTTTAAAAAACAGTTCTTATTATTGCACAATTGCATTTTGCCACACAAAGCAGTGCTTCATCATTTAAATACTGAAAGAATGAAAGGCATGATTAAATGAAATAATGAGTCCACAAAATAATGACAGGCAATACTGGAAAATATTACACCCCCAAAAAATCCATGGGTTATGCATGAAGAACAACTAACAAATTTCTATGTTTCTGTGCTCTTGGCTCTACTAACAAGTACCATAAAACATCTGCAACATTTTCATTTTTTCAAATTTTGCTTTTAGTGTCTGTGAACCCTCAGGATCCATAAACTGTACACCAGTCCCAGGTAAATTACGTTTGGGTTTTTTTTACAAATAAAAAGAAAAAAAGTGCATAGATCTGCTATGTGTGTCTCTACAACAGACTTAGTACTGGTCTGGAATAATTCTTTCTAATGCTAGATAAGTTTTTTGGCCAAAGAAAACTGGGCAGCCCTTTTGTTGAACCTTGATGTTAGTACTTCTTGTTCACATTCTTTCTTATATTGTTTTATTCTTTCTCCCTTTGTCCCATATCCAGACTAATGGTTTTCAGTACAAGAGTTTGCACTCCCAGAAAATATAGTTTTATAGAAAAGTATCAGATAGTAAATTGCAGTTGTTATTTCTCTCAGAATATTTTAAAAGTTTGTTTGTAAGTCTGTTCTACCAAGCATTTTATTAAGGACTTTATTAGTTGTGTTTTAATGTTACTTTAAATATAAATTCCTTTAAAGACAAATTAACGTAATGTACTAGATCTCAGTTTCAGGCAGAACTCTGAAAGGAGCATGCATTACTCACTCAAATGCTTACTTGTTTATACGTATTTTGCCTTTGTCTCTTACATGGCAGTAGAAAAATTGCAAAGTAAGGCTCTTTCTTGCAGGATGTCCTTGTGTCATCAATGGAACAAGTTATGAAGTGGGTGACATCGTGGCACAAATACAGGATGGCGACATATGTAAAACATATATTTGTGCAGAAAATGGTTCTATAATTCCTGGAGATACTTATCTTTGTCCAACATCTGCTTCACCTACAACCCTTTCAACCTTTTCTCCTACCAGTACTCTTACAGTCACAGGTAAACCTTCAACTGAGCTGTGCATCTAAAAAAATATTTTCTTTAAGGAAAATACTTTAAACAGAATGTGCAAATATGTGGGCTTATAGCTGACACAGATATCTATTGCACAGATGGATCAATACATATGAATATTTTTATCATGGTACACTAAGAAAGATTTTTAACACCTTGATTTGCTTCTCATGGAAGAAATTGTAACTATGAATTTATGGGGTGCATTCCTAATACCGAAAAATATGTTAGCATCTCAATATCCTGCTGGGACAGTAGAAATTGTCTCAGTAATCTCCATTAAAAAAACATAATTAGGATATTTAAAACTACAATTATGTTTTTTCTAAGGCTTACAGATGATAGAGTAATCTTTCTTTTTCTTTCTATTTCAGTTACCACTACAAGCCCTCCAGTAACTACAAGTAAGTTTTAAATAGAAAACTAATTTATTAAAAATGTTAAAGGAACACTTAAAGGAAGAGTAAATTAAAGGCAGCCACTACAGGAAAATATTTTTAGAACAAGTATTTTTTAATTGTAAAAAAGTGATAAGTATAGACAGAAGAAAAACTTTAAAGGCTTCAGATGGATTATTTTGTTTTGATGTGAAGCTTTCTGTAGAACTCGTTTTAGAACTGTTTTCTCCTGGGAAAATGAAAAGTTGCAATGTATTGCTCCAGAATACAAAGAATACATAGAATATAAAATTAACCTTCTCAGAAGGTTCTTGGAAGCTCAGATGCTGAATCTCTGTCTTTTCTTGCAGCTCCATGCTTTGGATTAATCTGTAATTGGACTGAGTGGTTTGATGTTAGTAAACCTGAAGAAGATGGTGGTGACTATGAAACCTATGATGCAATAAGAAAAGAACATGGAAACAAAATATGTGAAGCTCCTGAAAAAATTGAATGCAGGGCTAAAGATATACCAAACATGAGTTTAGAGGAACTTGGCCAGAAAGTAGAGTGTAATGTAACATATGGACTAATCTGTAAAAATGAGGAGCAAGATCCAAATATGTGGCAACTTTGTTATAATTATGAAATCAGGGTAAACTGTTGTGAGTGGCGTGAAATTCCTTGTGAACCTCCATATACACCGAGTTCAACACCAATTACAACTTCAGTCACAACGAGCACAACAGTACCCACCACCACTACAACCAGGAAGCCAGCAATTACCACCACAACCATGCCCACTCCAACCACCACAAGCGAATTCACACCACCAGTCGCCACCCCAGTAACTTCAACCTCATCAGGTATTTAGCAGATCAATACTCTGTGCTCTTGCTTTGCCATAGGAGAAACAAAGGGCTGTTGTCTGCCGAAGGCATGTCATCTCCATAGCAGACACTGAGCTGATAGGAAATTTTACTTATGATGGTTTGGAGTTCTATCCTTCTGCTGGAGAGAAGGTTCCCAGAAGGACCCATTCTACAGGATCAGAGTAGGCCTTGATTTAAAGTACCACCATTTTAGGCACTGCCTGTTTGGGGCTGTTTAGAATTTCTTCCCATTCTCCTCCTCTTTC